ACCAAAAAGCAATCGGGGATGGAAACCTACATCTCCCCGAGCCCCTCGGTGGACAAAAAGAGGGGGCCGGATATCCGCCACAAAGTACCCCCCTTCAGCCACCACCCCGGAATCCAAAAAAGGGGGCCCCCCGAGATCCCCGTCCCCCCAAAAGACACCCAAAGCTACCCCGGGATACGGGGAGAGGGATCGGGACACCCCTAGGCAATCCAGATTCCACGGCAAACTACGCCACGCCAAGAAACCTCAACGGAAGGGATGGACCCCGGTGTCCTTTCCCTACCTAGGAACTAGCGCGCCTGTGGGAGAAATCACGAAGGCTAAAAAGAGGAAGGGCAAAAGGGAAGGGGTGAGGAGGGGAGGGGGAATGGAAAAAGGGGAGGATGGGGAGGATGGGATAGGGGAGGGGGGAAGGGGGGGGGGGGGGTTAATTAGGTTCGGTCTGAGGAGAAGACCGACAGGGTAATTCCTCAGACCAAGAGCCTCTTCACCACGCCAAGGGCCCCCCTTGAAGAGGTTTTTTTTTTTTTTTTTTTTTTTTTTTTTTTTTTTTTTTTTTTTTTTTTTTTTTTTTTTTTTTTTTTTTATAGCAAAACATACCTGGTATTTATACATGTAAATATATACTGTAGAATAGAGAGCATAAATCTTTATCATAAAAATAAACATATCCTTTAAGTAGCAAAAGTACCTGAATCAAATTCATTAAATATTACTGATATGCACAAATATCATTAATTGTAAAAATAATCATAATCTTTATACTGTATAGCTGGATGTGAATATTTTAATGCAAGATACCTTGCCAACAAATTTTTATGTACAAGTCTACATACAGTATATTCTTTACTAAAAATTCAGTTCTGTAGAAAAAAGATTTCAAATGACTAGACTACCTGGAGAGGGTTTCGGGGATCAACGCCCCCAAGGCCCGGTCTGAGACCAGGCCTCTAAACATTTCAACAATTAAGATACCCAACTGTTGCACATGGGTCTTTATCTTTCAAAGACCCTGATAATGTGGGGCATTAGGGTTATTGGTCTGTAGCGTTGTGTCATGGGCCTGGTCTAGGATCAATCCACGGGACCATGTACACACACACACACACACTGTACGTACGTACGTAAGCATTATAAAATAAAATAGTAATATTTAGTTATTGAGAGAGAGAGAGAGAGAGAGAGAGAGAATCTTCACTCCCTCACCTCCATCATGATTGACTATGTTTATCACAGTTCACTGTTAGTTTAGCTGGTTCAGCAAGTTCAGCTAATTAATTCAAAATGTTCCCATGATGGAAGTGTTCAATATCTTAAAACACATTAGCACAGCAATCAAGTGAGCATAAATGTCTGATATTCTCAATTCAAACTGTTTCATGAACAAGCACATACCTATATTATTTCTTTAATCGTAGTATTTGTACTTTAATCCTACTACTTTTATGGTATGGCCTATAACTGATTATCATGCTTGATATGGCTGTAAATATTATTCAATATTTATATGAAAGCATCTTTCCCAAGCAGTTTGTCTGATTTCTGGAGGATTTCTGAATGTACCGGCACTCTACATTACTCTTGCTTCTCCCATGAGCTCACCTGGAAAGACAGCAAATGTTAACCAGAATTAACAGAGATAAATATTTGTGAATAAATCAGAACAAATGGTTTTCATCAAAATATATTTTTATGAAGGATATTAAAGTAAAATAATTAGCTTGAATTTTCTGTAGTTTTATGAAAGTTTTGCATCCAAGGCAGCGCTGTATAGCCCTTGTGGCTTAGCGCTTCTTTTTTATTATAATAATAATTTGCATCCAAGTCTGACAGTTTACCTAATGGGAGGGGGGATGGGGTGGCATGATGAGATTACTTGACCATTAATCAGATATTTAGGAGTGGACGTGTCAGCAGATGGGTCTATGAAGGATGAGGTGAATCATAGAATTGACGAGGGAAAAACGGTGCAGAGATGATGAAGCTGCCTTTGTTTTGTTTGTGTTAGAAACTGCAATTAATGATGATTCAAAGCACTTGCATCTGCAGAAATTAGGCTCTTTGATCACTAATCTGGCGTCCCTGAATTTCAAGAGATAACTGGCGGAATTTTGGTGATATACGCAGGCGTTCAAGTTATCGCTCCTACATGCATTAATGTGTTCATTGAGGCGTGTTTTGAGGTTCCTTGCTGTTTCACTTACATAAATCCTGTCACAGCCTCCACAGCATATAGTGTAAACCCCAGTATTGAAAGGTTCATGGTGCTTGAATTTTGTCCTGGTTAGAGCCTCTACTGAAGTGCTGGATGCAATGGCAACTCTAGTGTTAGCTTGTGCTAGTACTTTAGAAACATTCAATGCAACCTGACTGCTGGGAAGAATTATAACTTTGTTAGGAGTGGTGTTGGTGCATGGAGAATTAATGATCTGAAATTCAGGGACTCCCGATTAGTGATCAAAGAACCTAATTTCCGCAGACGCAAGTGCCTTGAATCGGCATTAATTGCTGTTTCTAACACAATTAAACAAAACAAAGGCAGTGTCATCATCTCTGAGTGTTAGTGAGAATCCTCCTGAAAACAGTAAAACCTGCCACCACAGTCTCTGCTGCTAATACTACACAAGCACATTAAAGAGGAGAAACACTGAAACAGACCTCAAATCCAACCACCAATATTTATTTAACCTATTTTTATGCTACCCAAGTAATAGCTTTTATAACCTTTTACTCATGTGCAAGTTGGCTGTTCTACCATATTTGTATTACTACTACTACCACTAGTATTACACCTCACTCTAAGCCTATATATACCGTGTCCATGTATTGTTTGTAACGGCTTGATAAAGCTCCTGGAGAGCGAAATGTTGCCACAATAAAATGTCATATTAGTTGCATTTGTGTCCTTTTACTTAACATATTATCGATAATTCTACTAATACAGTGGACCCCCGCATAATGATCACCTCCGAATGCGACCAATTATGTAAGTGTATTTATGTAAGTGCGTTTGTACGTGTATGTTTGAGGGTCTGAAATGGACTAATCTACTTCACAATATTCCTTATGGGAACAAATTCGGTCAGTACTGGCACCTGAACATACTTCTGGAGTGAAAAAATATCGTTAACCGGGGGTCCACTGTATTAATACAAAATGAACCCAACCTGAAGGTATGTAAGAAACACAATATTAACCTTCAAACTGTGTCTGACATACTAGTACGTAAATATACTGAGGTTAATATTTTTGACCTCAGCACAACTCTTCTTAAATCTATCCATACATTTGAAAAAAACCTAAGGCCAGGAAGGTCCACACAAGTGTATCATGATTAACTGCTTAGGTGATGATAATACAACAAACACACTAAACCATCTAACAAACCGGCCTGTAAATTAGTGTAGACAAAACCTATACTCAAATCTTTATCAGAAATTGAATAGCATAATTGCCCACCATAACCATCAGAAGCAACTTACCACTTTAACCTAGGAAAACCACATCACACAAAACATGCCACCCAGCCAAGGCTTGACATCCTCAAAGCCAAACTTGCACATCCTAGGGAAACTTTGCAAAATACTGCCAAGCATAAACATCAACACCATCTGACCTCCAAAAACTGGAGAAAATATGAAAAACTGCTATGTAAATCATTCATCACACACCAAGCCTCCAAGGAGAAACGGTGCTATAACACTAGCATACATCGTCTCTGTGCGATGTATGCACACCCAATATATCTAAACAGCTCCAAAATAACCTGTCATCATCATTTCCAATGAATCTACCACAACTACCTCTCACTGGCAACCTTTTTTATAAAAAGGTCTTATATAATCTCAATTCACACCAAAGCATCTTCCAAAACTAAGAAAGACCAACCAGTAATTCTGCTACTTCCCTCCATGGAACTACATTACCCTAAATGCAATAATATGCTTTGATAATGACATTCCCAAACAGCACCAAATGCAGTGAAAGCTTTTATCTTTACATCCACAATTTTTACCCTAATACAAATCTATATAAATGAATCAAGAATCCTCATCAACAATAAACCCACTGTAACATCTACAATGTGGATTCTTCATACAACTTAAATTGAAATGGAAACTACCTAAAGAACTTTCTATATTCACAGCCAAGCTGTATGGGATTTAACAGGCCCTAACATTAATTAATATGCTTCCAGTTGGTAACTATACAATATGCAGAGACTTCTAAAGTACAGGTCGGTCATCACTAATCCGGCACTCAGTTATCCGGTTTCATCAGTAATCCGGCACTAATTTTGGCTAGCATAATTTCAAATTTCATCATTATACTGACTCAGAAATTGTGCAGATGGTTGTAAATCCACAACAGCAAGCCAGTTGAGGACAAAGCAGTGATGAAAATGAGGAAGATGTAGCAGAGTCTCTATTGACAGGTTAATTAAGTGTATTCTAACCTAACCACTCTGTAATCTGGTAAACTCACTAATCCAGCACACTACAGGTCCCAATGATGCCAGATTAGTGATGGCCGACCTGCACTATCCAGCATATTACATGCTACAATACTGTGCTCTAAAACTTGCAAGAACTTGTATATCCATGTTTTGTACTCCTACATGAATACCATTCCAAAGTATATGATACATCCACACAATGGGTACTCAAACATTGGAATAATATATAATGAAATTGTTGATGAGCTAGCCAAGGGAATGCAAAATGCAACTTTTTTTTTTTTTTTACACAACTTTCAAGCCCATAAATAGCACGTAATGACACTGAAAACTACTGACATACACAATTTCACTGAAAATGGGAACTTTCATGCTAATAAACATTTTGGAACTATAAAAAAAAGGGAAGTGTTGAGACATACAGGAGGGCCCCACTTATACAGCAGGTTAGGTTCTGGGCTACTGCTATAAAGAGAATCATAGCCTTTTTCTCACTTTCAAAGGCAGATAAAAGCCTGATAACATGTTTACCCTATTATATATTAATGCATAATATAGCTAGGCTAAAAAATGCATATACAGTATTTTCATCCTTAGCTTATAGTAAGTGGTGAATATATTTATTGTTGGAAGTCTGAATAAATGAAAAATGGGTACAACTGTTTTTAAAACCGCTGTATTAGTGAAACGCTGTTAAGCGGGGCCTTCCTGTACAAGTGATCAAATTAATTATAGCAATACACAGCAATAACCAGATTAAGGCTAGGACACACTAAGCTAGCAGCTCACAGCTTCATTTATAGAACAGCTATGAATAAAACTTCCAACTACTGCCATGTTCCAGAAACAATACAGCACTTTCTATTCCACTGTTTTAGATACCACAGTACAAGAATTGCCTCCAATCAAAGATGCCACCATTAAAATCCCCAACACTACTGAAAACATTTTGGGAGACAGGACCTTCCCACTATACAAAAAACAAAAAATAACGAAAGCATTAGCTCAGTTCTTACAAGCTGCCAAACAAACCCCTTTGTCCTTTTAGTAATGCTAACAGTGATGGAATGAGTAAAAGTTTTTTCTCTGTTGCATCACCTGACTTCGGTGGGAGATGGCCGGAGTGTTAAAAAATGGCGGTATCTAAACACAAAAAAATGTCTATCTAAAATCTCAACAGAAGGAAGAGAAACACTGAAGACAATTCCAACAGGCCACCAACACTGACAACAGACATCAATGAACCAACATGAAGTGACAACACACCACAATTCATGCAGTCATCGGAAGAAACTTTTAAGTAAACTGTACATATCCTGAAGAAGTGCCCTTGATGCTGGCAAGAGCTCTTAAGCCAAGGAATTGGACTTGTTCTCTCCTTACTTGGATCGAACCTGACTGTCATCCATCCCCCCAGTGATGTACAACTCCTACAGGCTTGGTGCTTCCTGTATACATGCCAGAAGTGACTCACTTCTCGGCAGGGTCCTCTCAAAGAAGGCACACTGATGCCGGTGAGGGTCTTTTAATACAAGGAATTGCATCTGTCCTCCTTTTCCTTTGATCAAATTTAATTACCTCCCATTTCCCAGATACTATATGGTCCTTGGAGGCAAAGAGGGGAATGTATGAGAGTATAGTTTTACCAACGCTCTTATATGGGTGTGAAGCATGGGTGATGAATGTTGCAGCGAGGAGAAGGCTGGAGGCAGTGGAGATGTCATGTCTGAGGGCAATGTGTGGTGTGAATATAATGCAGAGAATTCGTAGTTTGGAAGTTAGGAGGAGGTGCGGGATTACCAAAACTGTTGTCCACAGGGCTGAGGAAGGGTTGTTGAGGTGGTTCGGACATGTAGAGAGAATGGAGCGAAACAGAATGACTTCAAGAGTGTATCAGTCTGTAGTGGAAGGAAGGCGGGGTAGGGGTCGGCCTAGGAAAGGTTGGAGGGAGGGGGTAAAGGAGGTTTTTGTGTGTGAGGGGCTTGGACTTCCAGCAGGCATGCGTGAGCGTGTTTGATAGGAGTGAATGGAGACAAATGGTTTTTAATACTTGACGTGCTGTTGGAGTGTGAGCAAAGTAACATTTATGAAGGGATTCAGGGAAACCGGCAGGCCGGACTTGAGTCCTGGAGATGGGAAGTACAGTGCCTGCACTCTGAAGGAGGGGTGTTAATGTTGCAGTTTAAAAACTGTAGTGTAAAGCACCCTTCTGGCAAGACAGTGATGGAGTGAATGATGGTGAAAGTTTTTCTTTTTCGGGCCACCCTGCCTTGGTGGGAATCGGCCAGTGTGATAATAAAAAAATAATAAATAAAATATATGGTCCTATGGATTAAGTGCTCCTTCTCCCTCCCTCCCATACCATAGTTGCTCAACTCGTTTCAGTTACTGAATGATCCAATAAAAGGCATCTCCTGTATTACATAGATGCACCTCACTGGGGTTCTGTGATACTTATAGGATACCACACCATTTCCCTGTAGACTCTTATGTATATCCCATGCTGTTTCTCTACTTTTAAGACAATAAAACTGCAGACCTAGTGATTGTACAAAGAGCCTTTAAAAGACTGAACACACAAATTCAGTCAAGCATGTAAATCACTGGAAATGTTTGAGGTTCCTCAATCTCTTTCCCATGGAATGCAGATGAGAAAGATGCATCATAGTTTACACCTGGGAAATCCTAGAGGCTGGTCCTGAATCTGCATACAGAAATCACTGCCTATGAAAGCAAGAGGCTCAGCAGATGATGAAATACCCACAATCAAAAGCAGGGGTGCCATGAGTATATGGAGACATCATCGTACTATCACAATTTCACCTCTAGACTGATCCTTTCCCTGCTTTACATCATTCAATATCGATCTGTTTTTTGTGCTACATTTTTCCACTGCAATTTCTTTATTATGTTAAGACAATCTTGTGCAGTCTAAGTGCATTTTAATTAACAATTTACTGCATTTAAAATACTTTTGTATTTTAGCCAAAAGATATTCAGTAGGAAAGCATTTTAAACATTCTAACAAAAGATACTACTACAGTACTATAATGTATATTACTGTAATACATTTACTAGTCAACGATATAGGTCAGGATGATGCATGTCAAAACTTTCTGGGAAAATGTCATGGGTCTTATTTTTTGAAAAGGAAAGCAACCGTGATATTTCTTTTCTGCATTCAGTATACAGGCATGGAATAACAGTCGAGGTCAAAGGTGCAATTTATAATGGAACTACTTGCACTGAGGCTTGCCTGAAAAATTAAGAGGCTATCACAATGTTTAATAATTTTTAGCATAGTCTAGCTTTTAAGAGGATATTACCAAAGGCTTTTAAATGCATTAAACAGTACAGTATTAGGTCTATATTGTCTTATTTATTTTCATATATCAATATAAACACTTAATGGTCTTTAACCCGTAAACGGTCCAAGCAGATCTACGTTCACATGTGTAGTGCTACAAAAGTAGATCTACGTTTTTTTTTTACATATTTTCAATATACAAAAAAAAAAAAAAAGTAGATCAAAGTTTTTTACACATTTTCAAATGTAAAAAAAACAAAAAGAAAAGAAGATCTACTTTTTTTACATACTTTCAAATGTTGAAAAAACGTATATATACATTTGGACCGTTTACGGGTTAAACTTAAGACTATGCCACATATAATGGCATGTGCTGACTGACTTGTACCTGTTTAATCAATTTAAAATGTGTACTGAGATACTTTGTAGCTTATTTGAAAGAGGTGCTTGTTCTGCCTGTTTACTTGTACTTGCAAGTGAAGTGCAGTTGGCTGATGGATTAATTGAAAGATAGATTTAGAGTTACATTATATTTAAAGATATACTGCATTATATTTAAATACAGTATATATTTATAAGAAATTTGTATTTGCACACAGAAATGCCTTTAAATAAATGGGATTTAAGAGGGCAAGCCTGGCTAGCTCCTTAATTACCTTTTTTCTTGTTTGGATAAACAATGAAGAGGAGAAGCTGAAAACCTGCAATAGCGCAGCAAATCATATTTGGATATTGGACAAAGCTATTTTGAATAACAATTCCATACAGCCACCAAAGTCCAGTCACCAAGAAAGTTGCAAAGATAAGGGGAAATGGTAGCATCTCTGTGCTTTGAGTTTGGAACACGTCCTTCAGTGATATCAGAGGAGACGCACAGAAGATGATACTCCCGAGGCAGCACATCATGCCCACACGCACCTTCATCAACTCAGGAGCTTCACCTGCAAACACCAAGACAGATGTTCAAAATGTATGCATTCATTCTACATATTTAATGTGCACAAATATAAATGATTAAGTTAGATACAGTATACTAACAATAATCATGCAAGATGTGGAAATGTGAGTGATCACATTAAATATGCAAATGTCATTTTTTTTAACACGCTGGCAGTCTCCCACCAGGAAAGAATGACCCAAAAAAGACACTCACCCTCATTCACAATACAGTGGACCCTTGACCAACAATGGCATCAACTAACGATAAAATCAGGTATAGATGAGTTTTTGCATAAAAATATTGGCTCGACCAACGACGAAAAACTCGGGTAAGGTCATTCGTCCTGAACGCATTCGCCTGTCTGTCCATCCTGAGCGCCTCAGTTGCCCTGCCTTCAGCTAGTGTGCCTTTGTTTACATGCCAGGGCGGATGGTTCCACGCATACATTCAATACATTTTGTATTATTTCATTGTTTTTAGTGCTTGTAACTGCTAAATAAGCCATCATGGGCCCAAAGAAAGCTTCTAGTGCCAATCTGTGGCAAAAAGGGTGAGAAATACTATCGTACCACAATCAGCTACTGCTGCGCCACCATCAGCTACTGCTGCACCACCGTCAGCTGCTGCTGCACCACCGTCAGGGTGCTGCTGCACCACCCAGTCGCTGCGCTGCTGCCACCACCGTCAGCTGCTGCTGCACCACCGTCAGCTGCTGCTGCACCACCGTCAGCTGCTGCTGCACCACCGTCAGCTGCTGCTGCACCACCGTCAGCTGCTGCTGCACCACCGTCAGCTGCTGCTGCACCACCGTCAGCTGCTGCTGCACCACCGTCAGCTGCTGCTGCACCACCGTCAGCTGTTGTTGCACCACCATCAGCTGCTGCTGTACCACGGTCAGCTGCTGCTGCACCACCATCAGCTGTTGCTGCACCACTGTCAGCTGTACTACTCAAAGATGTGGAGAGTGTGTTGTTGGTGTGGCTTAACGAGAAACAATTACCAAGAAACAATTAAGCCCAGAGGGTTAGCCACCCAGGATAACCCAAGAAAGTCAGTGCATCATTGAGGATTGTAACTTATTTCCATTGGGGTCCTCAATCTTGTCCCTCAGGGGGTGACCCACACCAGTCGACTAACACCCAGGTGAACAGGAAAAAATGCCTGGAACTAATGCTCATACTGGTGAATTTAAGGCCAGCAAAGGTTGGTTTGAGAGATTTAAGAATCGTAGTGGCATACACAGTGTGATAAGGCATGGCGAAGTTGAAAAATTCCAACCCCAACAAGTGTTCAATTGTGACGAAACAGGCCTGTTCTGGAAGAAAATGCCAAACAGGACCTTCATTACTCAGGAGGAAAAGGCACTCCCAGGACACAAGCCTATGAAAGACAGGCTAACTCTCATGTTTTGTTGTAATGCTAGTGGGGATAGCAAAGTGAAGCCTTTATTTGTGTATCACTCTGAAAATACCAGGGTGTTCAAGAAAAACCATGTCTCATCACTCATCAATATTCTTCAATAAAGGCAAGTGTCATTTTAGCATTTATTTATGTATTTATTGTGCATGTCTCACTGTTTTCTTTGTAGGGAAATGTATATCTCATGTAAAAAATTTTTTTTTGATACTTTTGGCTGTCTGGAACGGATTAATTGGATTTCCATTATTTCTTATGGGGAAAATTAATTCGGCTAACAATAAATTCGGCTAATGACAAGCTCTCTGGAACAGATTAAAATCGTTAGTCGAGGGTCCACTGTATCACTGTCTTGCATGCAGATTTGACAGTTTAGATGGCACTCTAAACAGCAAATATCCCAACCCCTTCTTTAGAGTGCAAGCATTGTACTTCCCACCTACAGGAATTAAATTTGGCTAACCGGTTTCCTCGAGTCCCTTCAAGAAATATTACCCTGCTCACACTCCAACAGTTCGTCAAGTCCCAAAAACAATTTGTCTCCACTCCTAAAACACACATACCTGTGTGGACATCCAACAGGTGTTTACCTGGAGTTTACCTGGAGAGAGTTCCGGGGGTCAACGCCCCCGCGGCCCGGTCTGTGACCAGGCCGCGGGAGTGTGTGTTAGACATAAGCGAGTGGAGGCAAGTGATTTATGACTTGACGTGCTGGAGTGCATGCAAGGTAACATGTATGAAGGGATTCAGGGAAACCATTTAGCTGGACTTGTGTCCTGGAGGTGGGACATACAGTGCCTGCACTCTGAAGGAGGGGCGGGGATACTGCAGTTTGGAGGGGCATCTAAGTTATATTGTCTGCATGCCTCTAGCAAGAAGGTGATGGCATGAGTGGTGGTGAGAGATGGCAAATACAAATTTTATTTCTTTATAGTTACAATATAATGCAATAAAACATTGGTAGGCACAGAAAGCCATTAGTATGCACAGCATTTCAGGCAAACTAATCCTAATGCTTTAAGACTGCTTAAGATTTAGACACTATTAAGTAGGATTTCTTATGCAGTTATCTACAATCATATGTACAATGAGAAAGGTAGTTAATGAAAAAAAATGGTACAATTTTGAAAGTATGACTTATTCTCTAAAAATGAATCAATGATCCTCAGTTTTGTGGAGTGACTGAATAAAGATGGCAAAGATTCTAGAAGTTACTTAATTACAGTAGAAATGTACTGGGACAAGATGCATAACCAATTTTCTATGAGAATTAAAGGAAGACTGAAAGAACAAGGGACAGAGTTAGATGAGCTGGTTTTGTTTGACAGAGTACTGTTGTTTCAGTTATGTTAGGGAGATGGGTTTCTTTTTAACCATAGCTCTGAATTGACTGAAATTGTGGTTAGAGTAGGTGGGAGGCAGTGGTTGTTATGGCTGGTAGGTAACTCACAGGGCTAGTGAAAACATATAATTATACTAATTATAATAAACTCTTGTGCCTTATGCAGTCATTTATCTACCCTAGCTGCATTTACATAATTGTTGAATATGTTGGCGATTGATAATAAAGTATGACAAGTTAAAAGGCCACATGAACTATATCTAAACACTTGTGTAACAAGGACAAGAAGCAAGAAATAGAAGTTAATATGAAGCTCTTTCTTTCACTTTTTACTCTATTTTAAACAAGAATGTGAGCATCAAAACCATTGTATGATGCAAGTGCTAATGATTTTGTGGATCATACATGCTCGTGCTTCACACTTTCTGTGAAAGGAATATGTTATCTCTAGTTAATAGCTCTATTGAACTGAAAAAGGCAATAGTTCATGAAACCTTTTCAAAATAAAGATATTCAGGTATTGCCTATGTCTAATTCATCAACTTGCTATTCTATACTAGTACCAATTATGTCAGGAAAGAATGAACTCAAACCGAGTCGACACCCAGCTTCTGCCAGGCCTTAGAAAAGGAGGTCTGATGAACGAAACACTATTTTTCCCATGTGTTTTTCACTTCATAAGCTGCAAAAACCATTGGCAGCACAGTTTGTAGGTACATCACCCAGGCAAATTATGAATACAGTAGAAATAAAGTTTATTAGTTTTTAACTAGTTTTCATCAGTTTGGTATCAAGTGTTTATTTACCTGAGAAGAATACATAGGACTGGATAATGCAGATAATTGTAAAAAAGAGTAACATTTGTCTCCTTGTAGCAATCCATGACGTCAGAGAAACACAGTACCTCACGTAGATGTACACATAACACACCTGTAAAACAAAATGCATTTCACTTTGAGCTAACAAAAGTTCCAGGAAAATTGTGCAGACTCCTTGCACACTTTCCCCCCAAAATTTTCATGTTAGTTATATAATGTTCAATACCAGTATGTTTACTTACAAGCCACCCAAATTGTAAAAACCTACATAATCTCTGTACTACTATGATTCAATTCAGAGTACAACTGCTGAATATTTAATCTCTGTGAGAGATGCACTGAACTTAAAATCTGACATATGCTTCTAGATAATTTTCATGCAAAATGGTTTATACAGTTCAGTATATATCCTAGTATGTGCTGTAAAAATTTGAGAATATGAATATGGAAAAAAACAGGAACATTTTCAGTCTTAAAAATAACCCCTAAAAATAATTAAAAATAATAAACTAGTACAGTACAGTACAGTACAACCTGTCTTCTTGCATTCTGGCAGTCCTGACTTCTGAAGTGGAATAATCCATTTCAAGTTAAGGATTTGATCTATCCAGAATCAATGCTGCAACCTACTAATGCCATTCTACCTTGATCACAAACTATTTCAAGAATTTCTTTGTGCCACAAATAAAGCTTCTCTTCAGTCCACGTTGAAGTATGTTCCACCTTTCAACTCTCATTAGTATACTAGAAAGACATTTTTTATCAATTCAGGTACATTTTATTTTATTATTTTTTTTTTTATTATCACACTGGCCGATTCCCACCAAGGCAGGGTGGCCCGAAAAAGAAAAACTTTCACCATCATTCACTCCATCACTGTCTTGCCAGAAGGGTGCTTTACACTACAGTTTTTAAACTGCAACATTAACACCCCTCCTTCAGAGTGCAGGCACTGTACTTCCCATCTCCAGGACTCAAGTCCGGCCTGCCGGTTTCCCTGAACCCCTTCATAAATGTTACTTTGCTCACACTCCAACAGCACGTCAAGTATTAAAAACCATTTGTCTCCATTCACTCCTATCAAACACGCTCATGCATACCTGCTGGAAGTCCAAGCCCCTCGCACACAAAACCTCCTTTACCCCCTCTCTCCAACCTTTCCTAGGCCGACCCCTACCCCGCCTTCCTTCCACTACAGACTGATACACTCTTGAAGTCATTCTGTTTTGCTCCATTCTCTCTACATGTCCAAACCACCTCAACAACCCTTCCTCAGCCCTCTGGACAACAGTTTTGGTAATCCCGCACCTCCTCCTAACTTCCAAACTACGAATTCTCTGCATTATATTCACACCACACATTGCCCTCAGACATGACATCTCCACTGCCTCCAGCCTTCTCCTCGCTGCAACATTCATCACCCATGCTTCACACCCATATAAGAGCGTTGGTAAAACTATACTCTCATACATTCCCCTCTTTGCCTCCAAGGACAAAGTTCTTTGTCTCCACAGACTCCTAAGTGCACCACTCACTCTTTTTCCCCTCATCAATTCTATGATTCACCTCATCTTTCATAGACCCATCCGCTGACACGTCCACTCCCAAATATCTGAATACATTCACCTCCTCCATACTCTCTCCCTCCAATCTGATATTCAATCTTTCATCACCTAATCTTTTTGTTATCCTCATAACCTTACTCTTCCTGTATTCACCTTTAATTTTCTTCTTTTGCACACCCTACCAAATTCATCCACCAATCTCTGCAACTTCTCTTCAGAATCTCCCAAGAGCACAGTGTCATCAGCAAAGAGCAGCTGTGACAACTCCCACTTTGTGTGTGATTCTTTATCTTTTAACTCCACGCCTCTTGTCAAGACCCTCGCATTTACTTCTCTTACAACCCCATCTATAAATATATTAAACAACCACGGTGACATCACACATCCTTGTCTAAGGCCTACTTTTACTGGGAAATAATTTCCCTCTTTCCTACATACTCTAACTTGAGCCTCACTATCCTCGTAAAAACTCTTCACTGCTTTCAGTAACCTACCTCCTACACCATACACCTGCAACATCTGCCACATTGCCTCCCTATCCACCCTGTCATATGCCTTTTCCAAATCCATAAATGCCACAAAGACCTCTTTAGCCTTATCTAAATACTGTTCACTTATATGTTTCACTGTAAACACCTGGTCCACACACCCCCTACCTTTCCTAAAGCCTCCTTGTTCATCTGCTATCCTATTCTCCGTCTTACTCTTAATTCTTTCAATAATAACTCTACCATACACTTTACCAGGTATACTCAGCAGACTTATCCCCCTATAATTTTTGCACTCTCTTTTATCCCCTTTGCCTTTATACAAAGGAACTATGCATGCTCTCTGCCAATCCCTAGGTACCTTACCCTCTTCTATACATTTATTAAATAATTGCACCAACCACTCCAAAACTATATCCCCACCTGCTTTTAACATTTCTATCTTTATCCCATCAATCCCGGCTGCCTTACCCCCTTTCATTTTACCTACTGCCTCACGAACTTCCCCCACACTCACAACTGGCTCTTCCTCACTCCTACAAGATGTTATTCCTCCTTGCCCTATACACGAAATCACAGCTTCCCTATCTTCATCAACATTTAACAATTCCTCAAAATATTCCCTCCATCTTCCCAATACCTCTAACTCTCCATTTAATAACTCTCCTCTCCTATTTTTAACTGACAAATCCATTTGTTCTCTAGGCTTTCTTAACTTGTTAATCTCACTCCAAAACTTTTTCTTATTTTCAACAAAATTTGTTGATAACATCTCACCCACTCTCTCATTTGCTCTCTTTTTACATTGCTTCACCACTCTCTTAACCTCTCTCTTTTTCTCCATATACTCTTCCCTCCTTGCATCACTTCTACTTTGTAAAAACTTCTCATATGCTAACTTTTTCTCCATTACTACTCTCTTTACATCATCATTCCACCAATCGCTCCTCTTCCCTCCCACACCCACTTTCCTGTAACCACAAACTTCTGCTGAACACTCTAACACTACATTTTTAAACCTACCCCATACCTCTTCGACCCCATTGCCTATGCTCTCATTAGCCCATCTATCCTCCAATAGCTGTTTATATCTTACCCTAACTGCCTCCTCTTTTAGTTTATAAACCTTCACCTCTCTCTTCCCTGATGCTTCTATTCTCCTTGTATCCATCTACCTTTTACTCTCAGTGTAGCTACAACTAGAAAGTGATCTGATATATCTGTGGCCCCTCTATAAACATGTACATCCTGAAGTCTACTCAACAGTCTTTTATCTACCAATACATAATCCAACAAACTACTGTCATTTTGCCCTACATCATATCTTGTATACTTATTTATCCTCTTTTTCTTAAAATATGTATTACCTATAACTAAACCCCCCTCTATACAAAGTTCAATCAAAGGGCTCCCATTATCATTTACACCTGGCACCCAAACTTACCTACCACACCCTCTCTAAAAGTTTCTCCTACTTTAGCATTCAGGTCCCCTACCACAATTACTCTCTCACTCGGTTCAAAGGCTCTATACATTCACTTAACATCTCCCAAAATCTCTCTCTCTCCTCTGCATTCCTCTCTTCTCCAGTGCATACACGCTTATTATGACCCACTTCTCGCATCCAACCTTTACTTTAATCCACATAATTCTTGAATTTACACATTCATATTCTCTTTTCTCCTTCCATAACTGATCATTTAACATTACTGCTACCCCTTCCTTTGCTCTAACTCTCTCAGATACTCCAGATTTAATCCCATTTATTTCCCCCACTGAAAACTCCCCTACCCCCTTCAGCTTTGTTTCGCTTAGGGCCAAGACATCCAACTTCTTTTCATTCATAACATCAGCATTCATCTGTTTCTTGTCATCTGCACTACATCCACGCACATTTAAGCATCCCAGTTTTATAAAGTTTTTCTTCTTCTCTTTTTTAGTAAGTGTCTACAGGAGAAGGGGTTACTAGCCCATTGCTCCCGGCATTTTAGTCGCCTCATACGACACGCATGGCTTACGGAGGAAAGATTCTTTTCCACTTCCCCATGGACAATAGAAGAAATAAAGAAGAACAAGAACTATTTAGAAAAAGGAGAAAAACCTAGATGTATGTATATATATATGCATGTGCGTGTCTGTGAAGTGTGACCAAAGTGTTAGTAGGAGTAGCAAGATATCCCTGTTATCTACATATCTTCATTTTAATGTATGTTTAATTAGTATTTATTATTGAAGTACTGAATACCTTCAATAGAGAACAAACTAGCAGTCTTATTCCCATGTACTACGCATATATATATCTCTTTGTCTATTATAAGTTAGTTCTAAGGCTGCTCAAAATGCCTTGCATAACAAGGGGCTTTCTGAAAAGTACTTTATACATGAAAATGAAAATGTTTATATCCTTGCAAAGCTTACAATGTGTGGTTTACATATTATAAAATATTAATTACATAGGTCACTAGCATGCCTAGGCATTTCAGACAGCCTAATACTAATTCTTACTCTATATTGACACTGGTTATGGAGCAGTACATTTTAATATACCTTATTGCATACTGATATATAAAAATTAGGTAACTGAAGTGATTAATTAGATTTATAATAGTGAGGTAGTACAAAACATATAACAATAATATAATTAGTAAATTTAGTAACGAGAATGGTATTGTCTTGGCATGATACACAGTTTCTATTAAAGCTCCAATATTGGGAGAGTATCTTAGCCAAACTTAGGAATAACTTAAGATTTATTAAGAAATAGCTATAGTATTAGGAATTTTATGTTTACAGTCATAAACCATATCCCGGCCGGGGTATGGTTTGTTTGCAATCGTGTCATTACGATTTCGTGAGTCATGTTTACAGTCATTAGGTAAGTATTTATTTTTATTATCACACTGGCCGATTCCCACCAAGGCAGGGTGGCCCGAAAAAGAAAAACTTTCACCATCATTCACTCCATCACTGTCTTGCCAGAAGGGTGCTTTACACTACAGTTTTTAAACTGCAACATTAAATGTAAATTAGGGGGAATTACAGATAACAAGAGTAAGTCT